TTTCTTAGAATGAATAAATGGATAGATGGATGAATATTTCCCTGAAATTAATAAATCCCACAATCATCTCCATACTTTCTTCCCCAACAATCAATTGAGAAACATTAATTGGGAATTCCTGTGTCCTATCCAGGGCCTAGAGATGGGAGTTCATAACGGTGAGAGAATAAAAAACAGAATAAAAGGGTTTCAACCACTTGAAATGTCTCCTTGGAGAAGCCCCTCCAACTCTAAACCTTCCTAGGCTAACAGTGAAGATGTAGCTTCTGCCATCTGACCACCTCAATCCAATAGGAGAAAGATGCTGCTATCCTATGAGAGATCCCCCTGTGGTTGGGATTGAGAAGGCCTAGCCCTAAGGAGTTTCCAGAATGATGAAGAAGCATCTTCAAACATGAAACAGATCTAGTCATGGCTTGCAGATTCATCCCCTCTAATGTACCCCAACCCCTCACAGGCCCATGTGTTCAACAGACAACCAACTGCTCCCATTTTCCACACAGGAGGGCCTCTTTTTTTTCTTCCCCTCACCTGGAACTCTGGGTCTGAAAGGGAGAACTTAAAAGTATTCTCCTCTTCCTTCCTTGGACACACTGTTGAGGAGCTTTGCAAGTCACTGAAGCTAAATTAGGGGGCCAAAGGGAGAGCCAGGAGCTCAAGCAGCTGTGGCATTTGGACTGGGAGTCAAGGATCCCCAGGGGGCGGGAAGAGACCAGTTTCCAAGGAGAAGGGGTGGAGACCAGAGATTGAAAATCCCTGAGCTCTGCTCAGTGTCACAGTTTAGAAGAATATGCATGGAGGCTCATTCTCTCCTCCCCTCGTGTCCCCCCCTTATCTAATTAGCAGAAGAGTGTAAAAAGTCAGAAATCCTATCTCTTTCTCTTCTGGCATTTTCAGCTACCTTCACCCTCTCTCCACCCTCTCACTCAACTGCCCCCACCCCAACTTGTGCCACAGTCTAAGAAGTGCTAGCAGTGTCAGAACCCTGGAAGAGGCCTGGGAAAAGAAATGTGGGGGAACCAGGGACTTGGGAGTTCAGCGAGAGTGCACATTTGGAAAGAAACATTGGCTTAGGATGCACACCATCATCATTGTAAGGTGATCAACCACCTGGTTTGCCCAACACTGCCCCAGTTTAAGCACTGAGAGTCCCACTCCATGGGGAATCCTTCAATCCAGAGCAAACCAAGATGGTAGGATCCAAGCAAGTTTTCTTGGCTTCAACTCGATGTATGACCCTGAGTAAGTCCCCTGTCTCTGGGCCTCATGTATCTCATAAAATGGGTCCCTCTAGCTCAGACACTTTTGGTTCCATGAATGGCCTCTAGATTTTCTGAAGCTGGGCACAACAAGGGTTGACTCTGGCTTATTCCTCATTGATTATAATCCCCAGAGCTTCCCCTAGGACTCTTGAAACCTCAACATCCGTGAACAGTAAAGGTAGAAGGGGCCTTCTGATCCTACCTCCTTATTAGCTCTATGAATACCTTTCCAGAGGTACACGCATTTATTCATTGTATTCCTCTTTATAGTTAAATACACACCTTAGCCTCTATTTACTAGATACTAAGCCTGAGGGCAGGTAGCAAGACTATGGCTCAACAAGAGTTAAAGCCTTGCACATAACTGGAATTGACAAACGGTGTTCAATTCCACATAGAAATCTTTTGTACTGTATCTCCCAGGGGCCTACAGGGAGGACACAGGGCTCCAATGGTATGCTGGAGGGGAGTCGGAGGGGGGGCTGTCTGTCCCAGCTCAGAAAGCTGATTGGTAAATTTTCAGGAATTTTGCAAATTGGTGGTTAAACACAGCCATTAAAAATTAAATTACAAAGGGGCACCTGGCTAGTTCAGTTGGTAGACTGTCTCTTGATCTCAGGATCATGAGTTTGAGCCCCATGTCAGGGGTAGAGATTACTTAAAAATAAAATCTTAGGGGCACCTGGGTGGCTCAGTCAGTTAAGCATCTGCTTTCAGCCCAGGTCATGATCCCAGGGTCCTGGGATCCAGCCTCACATTGGGCTCCCTGCTCAGCGGGGAGCCTGCTTCTCCCTCTCCCTCTGCTGCTCCCCCTGCTTGTGCTCTCTCTCTCTGTCAAATAAATAAATAAAATCTTTTTTAAAAATTAAAAATAAAATCTTATAAAATAAAATCTTAAAAAATTAAATTACATAACCAATTAAATTATATTAAAAACAAAGGTAACAAGTACTCAAAATTCATCTTGTCCCAATTATTTTCTGACATTTTACTATTATCTATATTCTTAATGTTATTTACATCTATTATATCTATACAACAGAATATTATATAATGATGTGGTACTGTTCATTTCTTCCCAAGTCCAAGTTGGTAGTTTAGAAAAAGGCCACAGTGGGAATATTTACACCATGGAAATCAGCAAACACTACCAATCATGGCTCCTGTCACACCAGAGCTGGTTGTTAAACACCTATCTACCAGCACACCCCTGGTTCAGAGACACTATTGATTTGTGATGGGCCCACTCGACCTCCCTGTCATCGTCTGCTCTGGTTTTCAGATCCAGATTTCCCTTCTTGGAAAAGAAAAACCAAGAGTTGGATCACACACTTAATAACCAAAGAGACGGGGGCACGTGGCTGGCTTAGTCCACAGAGCACACAACTCTTAATCTCAGGGTTGTGAGTTCAAGCTCCATGTTGGGTGTCGAGCCTATTTTTTTTTTTTTTTTTAAGATTTTATTGATTTGTTTGACAGAGAGAGACACAGCGAGAGAGGGAACACAAGCAGGGGGAGTGGGAGAGGGAGAAG